GAGAGAGAGAGAGAGAGAGAGAGAGAGAGAGAGAGAGAGAGAGAGAGAGAGAGAAAAATCATCGTTGCATACGCCATGTCAAATGATTGAATAATATTGATTGATTATATTATTAATTGACAATCGATCTCAAAAAAATAATGATCGACTTATTGTTAGATATATAATAATAGTAAAGTGTCTATTATGTTTTTTTCTTTTTTATAAAACGCGATACGGACGTAGTGATCATAATTTATAAAATTATAATATTGATGACGATGATGGTTATAATTATTACAATAATAATTATTATTATAATTACGTAATAGGATAAGTGAAGTTTTTAGTTTATTTATATTAATTTATAAAAATCTCAATACAATATTACAATTTCATATTTGTACTAGCACGTAACACCACTAGAGGCGTGTCATTATATTATAGTTTATATATCGTACACTAAGTCCATAAAATTATACAGCAATTATGATTACTAAATCTTTATACAAACTTTTTTATTATTTTCTAATCATCAAAGAAAATGAGAGAAAGAGAGAGAAAAAAAAATTTACAAATTTCTATCTTGAATGCTTTGTTTTCTCTTTCTTATTTTGTTTCTTTTCTTTTTATCTTTTTCTTTCATTATCGCGTAGGCATTATTATATATATATTTATAATTTCATCACGTCTTGGGTATATTAAAATGAGCACTGCAATAATCAATATTATACATTGTTGTTTCGTGTGTGCTTTTACAATTCTGGTTCTTTTCTTCATTTTCTTTTATAAAATTTCCATAATAATAAAAATAATAATAATAATAATAATAATAATAATAATAATAATAATAATAACGATTTTATAGTTTACTTTTATAATCAGGATCTAAATTTCTTGTAGCAAATATATTATGGGGATCTAAATGAGCTTTAGCGGCACGGTAAAGAGAAACGCCAGCTTGTCCGACAGCTTCCGAATAATACGAAGCTCTTAATTTACCGACACCGTGATGATGAGATAAAGAACCACCGCTAGCTAATATTTCGTCTCTTGCTGCTTCTTCAATCTGTTCATAAGTTCCTATTGGATCTTTTAAGCCAATATAGTTTATTCCCATATAAAAATATACGCAACATCCCGTATCATAGGTTTGAGTTACACGACAAGATATCATGAAATATTTTATACCTCGCGCATTACATTCTTTAGCTACTCGAGATTTGACGTTACAACATAAGGAATAAGTACGATTCCATGCAACCGATGTTTCAAATGATTCCGACACCACGCCATACTCCAAACCTAGATCACGTATATATGCAATAACGAAAGTCAAAGTGTAGCCACGTTCGCCGTTGTTTTCTCCAGCAGCTATACCATTATATAACTTAGCAATGTTATAAATTTTTTTCTCCTTAGCTGAAATCTCTTCTGAAGAGTCTCCTTCGAATAAAAGTGTAGCCACACAAATGCTGTCCCACTTAAAACACTTTATCATAGTTAAATATGTATGTTTCAAGCTATCTAATATTGAACTACCCCAACTTGATTCAGGACGTAATATCTGACCAAATTGAAATTGTTCATTGTCCATAAGTCGGATACTAGATGGTTGGCAACGTTCCTTGGCTATCTGTAAATAGTTTCACAAGGATATATTAATTTGAAATTTAAATGAAGAGAAAATACATGTATTATTAAGTAAGAAAAACAATCTCCTACCATTCTCATAGCCGCAAGTCCACTTTTGAAGTCTGGGAATACTATACTGCCGTATTTGGTTACCCTTGGCAAAGGTCGTACTTTAAAAATAACTTCTGTAATGCAGCCCAATGTACCTTCGCTACCAAGTATTATATGATCAAAGTCTGGCCCACAAGATGAACGAGGGACTAATGATCCTCGTTCTAATGTAAATTCAATGTCTTCCGTACGACCTGTGACCATCCGAACACGTATTACAAGATCTTCGATATTTCCATAAGTATTCTTTTTCATACCACTCGCTCTGGTTGCTACCCATCCACCTAAACTGTTAAAACAATCAATATGAATATGTATGCATGCATATCATAATACATTTTACATGGAATAACCAAATCAATTAATTTATATTTTAGTTTCTCTGTCTACCTGAATAATTCGTTACAAACACACATATATATGTATTTCATATTATTATATATTGACACAAGAGAGAATGATTAATGATAAATAAATTGACTTATTTATTATTTCTATCAAAAATCATGGGTTGAATAAGATTAAATAATGAAATCTTTTCTTTAATGTTTTTTCACTACAATGATTTATGATTTTCGTTCTGTACCTTAGTTTGAATCATATTTCAAATCAATTAAGTAAAAAAATGATCAGAAGACTACCTTGACCTTTGAAAGAATACATGATATACAATTATATCTATTTTTTACCTTGAAAATTCGTAGGAATCCGGTTCGTGGCCGGAAGTTAAACCATGTTGACGTAATTCACGTTCCAAATCTTGTCCAATTATACCTGTTTGTGCACAAGCTATTAAATTTTCTTTATCAATCCATAATATTTGATTCATTTGCGTGGTATCTAAGGAAATAATCGTTCGACGTTCATCAATCGGACACCAAGCAGCACCGCTAACGCTAGTTCCACCACCAAAAGGAATGCAAACAGCTTGATATTCAGCACAAATTTTCACAATTTTAACAACATCCTCGTGACATTCTAAAATAGTAAAATTATGTATGAGAAATGTAATTACAGTTATTATGTAAGAATAGTAAATACACACTCCAAAGAAAAGAGTATATAATAATCTCTTACTAGGCCATAATACAATATCCGGTATTCTTTTGAACATTCCATATTTAAGAATAAAGATTTCTCTTAAGGTATGACCATGCGCTCTGACCAATCGGTCTATTTCTTTCAACGAATAATCGATGTTAAGCCTTTTAATGGATTCTATTAATTCGGGTGAAATAATTGACTTCGGGTAATTTTTTGGTATATCTTGCGACGTAAATTTAACTTCAAACTGTATGTTGAACACATCTTTGACCCATTGAGTGAAATATGGCAGTTTTTTATTACCGATAGGATATCTAAACATAATAAAATAAATTAATATAAGAGAGAGATAAGATTTTTATAGAAAAAATTATTATCTTCAACGATATAGTTAGATTTCTCTTATACCTATCTCAATTTATATTCAAGTTTATCTAACTAATGTATAGAGTTAACAATATTATTTCTTTTTTCTAGATTTTAATTAGAAGCTCTTCGTTTATTGTAAATGTAAGCATTTAACTCAGAAAAGCCTTTTTTATTCTCCAACATTCTGATTCGATTAGTTTAACTATTTCTCTACTATTGGCTGAAATATAAGAAAAACTTAAAACAACTTCCCATAGAGAAAAATATAAGTATATATTTTTAATCTTATCTTTTTCTTTATTTTTTTCAAAATATGTTATCCATACCAATGATTTGTATAAATTATACATTTAAAACTTTTTTTATTACTTCCTTATTTATAGATATACGCATATATTACGTGTACTGTATTTATATAAATTATTCAAATAAAAAACATGAGTTTATACTATTATTAGTATGGTTATTACCATAATTATAATATGACTCATTTAGACTTTGTAAAAAGAAAACAATACATGAAGTATTAATTTTTTATATATTGTAAAATATTGAATGTGTGTGTGTGTGTATGTCAGGCTTAAAGAATTTATTAGTAGTTGGTGACAACATTTAGAAAATTTCATACTTAAAAAAACTCGTCAAGAATTCTCAATATTTACATAGAATCATAAGATTCTAATTTATGCTAATGAACTTGCGGAACAAATAGTAAGTGAGGGGCACTTCAAATATGATCAAAAGAAAAATAGAAAGAAGAAAAAAATGTTTTTAGAATAAATTTTTATGTGAGTGACATGTTTACTTATTAAATATTGTTCATTAAGAGACAACGATGTTATTATACAAAATGACACTTGTAAACGAAATGTTCTTTCAACTATTTAAATATTTTTTTAAACGTAATTCAATTTTTGATTACTGATGTTTCTTTCTCTTTTCTTTTTTGTATGAAATTTTTTTATGCGTGCAAACACATTATTTAAAGTAAAATGATCTAACTGCATTTTAACGATGTCATCATAAACAATTAAAAGAACATAATATGAATATCTTTTTAGCGAAATGATGTAATTTTGTTTTTACTTATGTTTAGTTTATTTACTCCATAAGACTATTTTTAGCATAAATTATATGCATGCACGCAAAATGTCATTTCAATATGTTTTCTTCTTCTTTCGTCATAACAAATGAATTATCTACTTATCCTCACATAAATAATTATGCTTGAGAAGTATTATAAATAGTACCTGGAGCCAGTGAATTCGACAACATTGTTATTAAAAAGAAATCGTGAATCCTTATAACCCCAGCCATTCCACTTTAAAATCTCTTGTCTGAAAATCAATTAAATGATAATTATTAACAATCGTATATATATATAAGATCAAATAATAAAAATATTAAGTATAATATAAAAAAAAAAAAAAAAATAAAACAAAGTGAATGTGAGGTTTAGTAGCATCAATATTATTTGTTTTTTGTTTGTTTGCGAATATTCATTCATTTATTTTGTTTATATTTACACATGACACATGCCGGGTTAGTAAAATAATTGTCAACGAAAATAACCGAAAGTTATCGAACGTAACCGATGTTTAATGAGACGAGGGAAAAGTTATGAAGGAAAAAACAAAACGTGCAAACATTAATTGATTATCAAACCCTTGAAAAAAAGCCTTCGCGACAATTTCAAAAAAAGCTTAGTCTTCTTGATATGACTTGACGTGTCATTTTATAAAGAATTAATTTTGTTTTACGTGTGTGTGTACTGAGTACGCGTATGAAGGCACGTATATGTGCATAGAACATGTTAAACTAATATATAAAAATGCATCTTATGGAATATTTAACCTTGGATTCGTTATGAGATGTACACATAGTATATGATAAAAGGAAGGTGGCTAAGAAAGAATGTTTATGATTTAAAAATGATGACTTTGAATTTTGATGAAAAATAACTATAGATGATTAAATGTGTTCACAAAAAAGAATGTTAAAAGGTTGATATTTGTACGAACGAAATTTTAGGCGTGGTCTAAATTAGACGATAGTTTTCTATGATTGTAACCAGAAATTTCGTCTGTGTTTATAATAAATTTATAAAAATAGAGAATGAAAGAAAAAGAAAATGTTTTATGTGCGTGGAAAAAGAAAACACACGATTTAGCATATACATACATATACGCAACATACATACACGCATACAAGTGTATAACACATATATTTTACCTGTTTTTTGGTACAGTCGGTTCGAAATTATTATTTGATTTTTTCGTCGTCGAACTAATTGTTTTAACTGCATTCGACATGTTGTCAATGAACAATGTATCTCTTTTTCCCTGTTTGAAAATGCAAGGAAACGTACGATCGAAGAAAACAGGTAACCGCTCGCTTAGTTTATCGTAAATACAATAAATTTTTATCTAATCAGTAACCTCGGACTATTTCGTGGTGTTTCTTGGACGCCTTACCTCATGAACGGTAAGAATCTTTATTACTGACACGAGCACCGGTACAAACAGTTTTAAATCAATAGAGCCCCCGCCCGACGCACACACCGAATATCCATAATGCTCCCCGCCTACTCTCGAATCGCCATTTGACCCGAATTAAACCGAATTTAACCGAACCTAAACGAATATTACGAAAATCGAGGATAGCGCTTTCAAGTGTTAATTCAATGTATTAATTTTTATCTTATCGACTGAGGAAACTCTACCAAATAATTAGCGAATATTTTTTTTTATTTTTTTTTTTTCTAATTGGAGTAATTATAAATTTGCTTTAATAAACGTGATCATTACAATTTTCCAATATTTTTGTATCTATCTTTTAAAAATTACAATTAAATATATATGTTATAAAGAACGAAAAAATTATAATTATTTTCTTGTTTTTTTTTCGGTATCGATCGAAAGTACATAGATTAGGTAATAATTCTCCAAGATTAATCAATCAATTAATCGTTTGTCATTTGTAACAGCAGTTTATCTCTAAATTCTCTAATAATAATGACTATCTTAATTTTATTAATATTTTTTCTGATTAAAACAAAAAAAACACTATAATTATGCTATATCATCTATCTGTAATATTATATCAATACTTATAGTTAATGACTTTATCGATGCGAAATTAGCATAGATTTTCATATGAATAAAAAAGAATATTGTGAAACTGAAATAATAAACAAATTTTTTATCTCCGCTGTCCGTTTTTTTTCATCAACGTTAATTGATAATAATTACTTCTTCTTCTTCCTCATTTTATTAGGATTTTGTCCCTTTATAATAGCTTTTTTTATTGCTATTTCTAGAAGCGATTTAGTGATAACAATTACGATGATAATAATTATATAGTAGCAGAATATTATTATGGAAAATAATTTTTTTTTATACGAGATGAAATTTATTGATAGAAATGAAGAGTAAATGGACACAAGGACGGATAAGTAAGTCTCGGTGACCTAGTTGTCGAGTATAAAAAGGATGATTGATTGCAGTTGTACATTTTTTTATTGTATAAAAAAAATTATTTATCAACATTATTTAAAAAGAATCAATGTGAATAAAAAAAGAATAATAAGTAATATTTAACCAGATTGTCAGATTATCAAGAGAATAATATAAGTTCTTAAAAGTTAATAAAAAATATCCAAAAGCTTTGAAATGTAATAATTTATATACCTATTAATAGATTCATTATGTGTACGTTATAGGCTATTTGGGAAATCCGGAATTATGAATACTGCGTAGGCATTGGTCATAATAGTAAGCATTTTTTGGCAATATAGGAAATAGAAGAATTGTTACGGACTTTTCCTAGACATTGTGCATAATACTTTGGTATCTATAGAATATCTTATTACTATTTAGGCATTGTCTTTTTCTCTGTATCTGTTCCGAGACAATCGTTCTTAACGAGTAAACTTCTTTAATTAATAATTAAAACAAAATATCTACATTAGATTTTTAATTGTTGTTTGTTTTTAAATGTATATAGAATTTAATTACACATTTGCTTTGTGTAAACTACTTGCTATTAAAAGTTACTAGGAAATAAGAAAGTTTAAAATATATTGAAATCTAGTAACATTTCTAAGCATGATATCGGTAATAGTAGTGCTCTACCTTTATCTTACTTACCATCAGATCTCGATCGGTAAGTATATATAGGTATAATTAATGTATTGATTGGCACATTAATTAATATATTTCGAAGCCATTAGGTATTTTTTTTTATTAACTTTCATGGACTTATATTATATCTGTGTGTGTGTGAGTCTGTAGTATATTATAAACATTGAAAAATGTTAATTATTTATTCATAATAGTAATATAAATAATATCTTTAATCATGAACATATTGAGACTAATACATCGTTGTGTTTATTAAATTTCAAGCATTATCTTGGAAAGTGTACGATGTCTTTTATCTTCGCGTACGATGTTTGCGAGACGGAAGTGAGAGGACTAAACGGAAAGATTAAAAGATAACATAAGTGTATATACATGCATTATTTATATTAATTATAATTCAACAATCAAAAATAATAATTCAAAAGTGATTTTTCTTCTTTTTCCTTTTGTTTCTTTTTCATTTTATTAACATGTTGACGATTGGTGTTAAAACTCGAAATGGAAGAACTAGTTTGTTATTAACAATAACGAATAAATTATTAGATTAACTCTCGTTTGTCTTGACGTGTGATATTTCTTTTTTCTTTTTTTTTTTTTTTTACATTTTCTTTTTAGTCATTCTTTACGTTAATCTCATATAAGCATCCTACTCAATCTAATTTTTGGCATATATTATTATTATTATTTTTCATTCTTTTTTTTATATTTTTTTTTTAACATACACATCTACGTAATCCTACATATCTAAATACGTTAAATATAATATAACTCTATGCGTAGATTGTATGTGTGATTTTTCTAAAGCTACCGAATCTAAAGAACATACTAAATGCAACACTTACACACAAAACAACGTGTCATGTGTAATAAATTGCATATAAAGATGCGTGTATGCATATATTTGTTGGCATATACTTACACAAGATATAACAACACACGCTCCTATTCTTTTTTTCTTTTTTTTTCTTTACCACTTTACATGACTTTTTACAAGAGTTTTAACGCCAACGATAAATAGAAATAGTAGCATAGTTAAATTCTTCTCCGTTTTCACCGTGTCAAAAATAATAATAATAATAATAATAATAATAATAATAATAGCAAATAAAGCTATTTAAATATCATTAGATATAATTTACGTTTTTCTGTCGCGATAGAAGAGAGATGATCGACGTGTTATTTATGAGATCGGCTAATTATTAATTAAAGCCGATTGAAAATGTCGTTAACGCGTAACAAAGCGTTATTTTCTTCTTGGGAAGCTACGAGAACGGCAGTGCTGCGTTCTTTCTCCTCTCATAGTATCTTAAAGTCGATAGAATATAATCTAATCCTGTTGATCCCAGGTAATAATTGGATGGAGAAAAAAAAAAAGAAATACGATACGGAGACTAGACTTTTTTAAAGTGGTGTTAATTCGACCGATGGTTGGCCCATTTTCGTTCGCAAAGATGCTACGTCGTCTTCTATTCGGATTAACAATTTATATTTCTGAAAAATAGAACAAAAAAAAGAACAAAACACGTTTACAATATACATGATACATACAGGTAACCTTCCTACAACACGGTATTCAATAGCACGATTCATAAATTGTGACAAAACTTTGTACAACACTGTACATATACAGTATTGGATAAAACAATTTTCGCTTAACATATTTAGAAAATTAAATTAGCTTAAAATAATAAACTCTGGGTTTAATATAACACGGTTTCACACAACACGGTATTTTATAGGAATCTATCTACAATGTTATAGGAAGGTTACCTATACTCGTTTCTGTTAAATAATTCAATCACATTTAGTTTATGATACTCTATCTAAATTTTGTACTCACAGTACTGTTATCACCAGGTGTTGTCATCCATGCATATAACATGTATCCTGGTATGCAAAGCATTGACGATAATGCTGTAAACCAGCCCAATACATGAGACCACCAGGGGTACTCATAATCCAAGTACTTAACCGGTGTCCATTGCACCAAATTGAAAACAAAGACTCCCTAATTTAATTAGAAACATTAATGTAATGTAATTTAATTAATTGTAAGATTATTCAAAGTAATTTTCTTTCAAAAACCAAAAACAAAAAAATGATAATATAAAGTTAAATACTAACGACACATATCATCGGAGTTGTAAAGGTCCAACAAAATTTCCACCACATTAAAGGATAATAACCGATCATATCTCGTAAAGCGTCGTAAAATCTATTAACTCCGAATGCCCAACTTATCGAGATGCATTCGAAGAAGATTAGGAAGAGTAAACAGAATCCGGATACTGCGTAAGAGTCGAGAATTTGAAAAACGTACATCCCACCTTGGGAAATACACGAAAGTCCGATGAGGTAAGACAACGCGCAAACTATTGCGATGAACACTTCTTTACGTCGACGTAACAATTGTGGCCATTCGTCCACCTAATTAAATTTAACAAATATATTATACGTTTATTTAAAAAAGAGAAAAATTCAAGATAAACAATATATCGTAAGAACAAATTTGTGTGTACCATTGCAGTGATGAATCCTTCCATGGTACAAAACTGCGAATCCAGACCAATAAGTAATAACATGAAGAAGAAAAGACACGACCAAAGTGGTGCACCAGGTAATTGAAGAACTGCCGAAGGATAAGCTAGAAAAGCTAATCCTGGTCCCGAAGCGGCAACCTCGGCAACAGGTTTTTGTTGTTCGTGTGCCATGAAACCGACTACCGAGAAAATAACGAACCCAGCAAACATGCTGGTAGATGAATTTACAGAACAAACGATCAGGGCATCCTTGTAAACGTTGTTGGTAAATTTGTTGTAGCTACCAAGAGCAACCAATGTACCAAGCCCGAGTCCATAGGAAAAGAATATTTGCGTGACCGCGTCTATCCATACCTGCGTTGAATTATTCTTGTTGTTATATCGATTGGATTATTTAAAAAAAAAAAAGAAAAAAAAAAAAAAAACAAGACAAATTTATATAATATATCAGTCAAATTTATTATTCAAATCTTACTTACCTCGGATTCTCTTAATTTCGATAGATTCGGACTGATGTAAAATTTGATACCCTCCATTGCACCGGGCAAAGTAATCCCGCGAATTAATAAAATCGTAAGTAGAACGTAAGGGAATAACGAAGTGAAGTAAACTACCTTGCCAGTCCATTTAACACCTTTCCAGATGCAAAAGTAACATAAAATCCATACCAATAGTAGAGTACCAGCTAATTCCCAACGTATGGTACCTACGTACTCAACTCCTTCACTGATTTGCAATGCACGACGTCTATAAAAATGTATTATTAAATAAATACAAATTATTTATATATATATATTGTTTTTTTGTGTAATTTTTTTCCTTTTTTTTTGTTTTTCTTTTTGGTCAGATCTACTCACTCCCAAAATTCTTTGACAGGATCTGTGAGTTCGTTGACGGTGACGTTCAATTGATTGACGGTACACATTTTAATACTACTGTGATTCCTATACACTTGATTCCAACAAATTAACGAGCTTCTGTCGTAAGGATTAACACAATATTTCGTATTCCAATAATTGTTACAACTACCCCAAGGTAATTCTGAAAAAGATGAAAAAAACAAAAAAAGACGAACGAAAAATGAAGTACATTGTCTTTGTCGACAATGATAATAAATAGACAAAAAAAAACATGGAAACAAAAGTTGAACCTGCTTTAACTTACCACTGTGCATGGACATAAAGAAATAAAATATCGCCCATGCAAGAATGACAATGTAATAAACGTTCATCCAACAGGACATAACGGCAGCGGCATAACCAATCCCTTTAAAGAGTGGAGCAATTTTAAAGACACCCAAACCACCGACCGTTAACATTTGACCAAGGGCTAATTCCATGAAAAACATTGGTATACCAGCTAGGACCAATGTTAAGAAATATGGGATCAAAAAGGCACCTCCCCCATTTTTATAACAGAGGTAAGGAAAACGCCATACGTTGCCGAGTCCAATGGCCAGTCCAACCTTGACAAAAAAAAATATTTTAACGTAACATTTATTAAAACAATTCATAAAACAACATTTATTAATATATAATCTCAATTATTATTATTATTATTAATCATTTATTTACCACGCTAAGAATGAAATCCAATTTGGTACTCCAAGTTCCACGTTCCGGAAGTGGTTTTTCATTGTTACCAGGAGCACAAGCTAAATTCAACGACGTGCTCGCATTTTCAGGATTCTCCGAGTCAGGCACTTCAGTTTCCTTCGATGTTTCCGTCATTTTTCGTACAACAAATGGACGATTAATGACGCGAATAATTAAATAATAATAATAATCCTCTTTTGAGAGAGATAATTCTGAAAGGATCCTATTTCGTCTCGAATCCCCCACTTTTTCACCCCCTCCTTACTCTTGAGGAAAGCGGCGTTCTTACGCAGGATTCTGATACTCGTACATAACCACCGTACCTAGATAAACAATGATGAATCAATTTGGAATAATAATTGAAGTTGGATCGATATTTTTTTGGAAGAAAAAAAAAATAAACGTTTTCCTGAATCCTGTCATTATAATAACGGAAAGAGGAACCTATTTTTTTCTTCTCGGGTCAAATACGACGATCCTTATGATGAAACTATTATCTTTCAAAAATCGATCCCCCCACGAAAAACGGAATAGTTAAACGTTACTCTAATTGTTCTTACGTGTAAGAAGAAACTGGGTCGCATGGTGAATGAATACGAAAAGAAGGAATAAAAAGAAAAAAGAAAAAAGAAAAAAAAAAGGAAAAAGAAATAAGCACAAAAAAACTCTTGCCAACGTTCACGGTTAAAAGATTGACCATAGGATTTTAAAGCTAAAATAGTACAACAGTAGATACTTCTTATCTTTTATTAGATAATTACGCTACCGCTTGGCATTGTACCTCAATCGTTATCGGCCGTTTAATAAGACATTGGACTGTCTCACTCGATTAGGGAGATTTACGTGATTAAACGGAAGTTTACAAAGTCTATTGGTAATCTTCATTAAGTATGTAAGATCCATTGAACGATGATTAATTATTAACGAACGATTGAAACAAAACGTATCGTTTGGTCTTTCTTTGTTTTGATTTCTTTTTTTTTTTAATTGAAATTCTTTTCTATCAACGAATTTCGTGTATTGCGCGATGGGGGTGTGGGCGATCAGGAGGGAGGAGGAGGGCATGGGCAGGCGAATTATTATCGACTTATTTTTTCGTTAACTTCGAGATAATGTAATATTAAGAAAAGGGTTTATCTTTTGTAGATGGTGGTATGGCATGTGTTCCAACCACCTGAACGAAGAAGGGTGAAGGCCTCATCAAACAACATTCGCTAGTATAGAAAGCTGAGTTAAATACTAATGTCCGGCAGGGGGTCCGTGTAATAAATATCACGATCATGGGTGGCCCTCCCCCCGCTTTCCCCCTTCCCCCCGTATTCATCCATTGGCTCCCTCTTCCTCTTCCACGCTCATAAAAAACAGCTATATTCTAATTAGCCGAGGATGTGCTGTTCCGCGTGTCCGATGTTGTTGCATCGGTATGCGTTACTTTGTCATCTGGACTTACCTTACACAATTTCCCCCTTAACCCAACACCCTATAACAATCCAACCCAACCCAACCCCTTTTTTCGTCGTCCATCATAAAAAATCTCTTAGATTTATGACCAAACTTATAAAAGTATATCTCATATCAACAAATGAACTTTATGTCGACAATCTTGTGCGTAATCAATGTGTTCACCTTTCTCCCTTTTTTTTTTGTCATACTTCCTAGGTTATTCTTTGTTTTTTTTTTGTTTTTTTTTTTCTTTAGATGCAACGAATAAAACAATTCGTATGAGATTCAATAACAATATCGTGTTGAAAGAATTTGATGATTTCTTTTTTGTTCTTAACTTACACGTACCTAAGATTTTAAGCCCTTTTTATTGTTGCTGTTGTTATTGTAAACAGTAGAATCCGTTTTGATGATCCGATTTGTGGAGTGATAGGAAAATCTTCACATAGAATCAAGCACTTCACTTTTAGAGAATCAATCGAACACGAGTGAATGATACACTGACTTTTAATAGTTGTTTGTTTTTCTTCAAAGAGAGATCCAAGTATGGATCGTTAAGGAAGATCGATAGATCGTTGGTCCATGGTTTGTCACATAATGTTGTTTTTGTTGTTGTTTTTGTTATGTTACTGCTGTTGTTGTTATTTTATATAATTCTATGTTGAACTACCGAGATTGTGAAAGGTGTTTAACGTTGTTCGGTCAGAGAGTAACTGATAAGACTCTTCTTCTTCTATATGTGGATGATGACTACGTGGATGATGCTGGGGAGCTTTCGTACACGCCGGCTCACCGACTGGAATCGGCCAGCGAGATAGAAAACCGGGAGAGATTCCCCTTTTCCTTTTTCCCCTCTTCCCCACCTTCTTTTCTCTCATCCCTTCTCCCGCACCCTTACACCTCCATGCAATTATTTCCACCTCCATAAAGGTATCTTCTTTGACTTATCGTTAACATCCAACTTCCTTAAATCTTACTTCTATCGATTGTTTTTATTTTTTTCAATAAGTATTTAGATATTTTTATTAATTCACGTTTTGTTAATATTCCTTCACACTTTTTTCTAAGTGAATGCATCCTTGTTTTATTAATTTTTTTATTAATTTAACTTTGATCACGTTGCAATATAAATCTTGCGAAATATAATTTTTCTTTAAATATCAAAATGCAAATTTTATTGATATTACGAAATAATAATTTATTCTTCATTAGGGTGATTCGTATAGGTTATAAATATACTTTTTAAAGGATCTATTTTTTTTTGGTGAACATCTTGAACGATTATACGTAAGAAAAAGATCGAAAGAAGAAAAGTTGTGGTAGAAGAAGAGAAGAAAAGAGAAGAAGAAGTAGAAGAAGAAAAAAAGAAAGATTGAAAAGAGGGAGTCAGCAAGTTCGCATTCAGTATATCATCATCAAGTTGACATGGCTCTGCTAACTTGTACGAAGCCCTCCCTTTATCACCTCATGACTTCGTGTATCAATAGCCTATACATAACCATAAGCATAAAAGTGTCTCTCTTTGCTTCTCATCCGTTTTTACCTCCTATTTTACAACATCCTTTCAAACTTTCATACTTCCGTAATAATATCTTCATTCTTTTTTGTTAACTCTCCATTTTTTATTTATCCTGTCAAAACAAGAACAAATAAAAGATTACGATTAATAGCATACGAGTTGTTGAAACGATTTTAAATAAAAAAGAAAACCAAGATAGTAGACATATTATAATAAATATGAATAATAATTATTATTACCAGTATTATTTATATTATTTTTTAATATATCATTTTTTATCCGTACAATACTTCGTTTCATTTTATCCACCCTGTAAAAAAGAAAGAAATTTCAATAAGTATAAATAAAAAAATCATTTCTGTATATATAATAATAATACATTTTAATATTTATTATTATCATTCATTTTTCTCATTCAATATATCAATTAATTCGTTCGATTTTCCCTTTTTTATCTACCCTGTTGAAAAACAAACAAAACCAAACAAAAGATTACAATAGGTATAAAAATAATTTAAATCATTTTAAATAAACACAAAGACAATGAACAAAATGACATTAATTATTTTTGTGATTACTTTTTAATACCCTTAACATTACGCGTTCAACACTATAATTAATTAATTATTGTTAATATTTAATATTAAATACGAGTATATAAAAAAAAATCGTATATAGATGGCGAATTCGAGGGTGAGCATGATCGAAGGGATTTCTGAATAGGGAAGGGGTTAATGGTTCCTCCAAGGGGAGGAACTTAACGATGGAAACGAGAACGCGGGAAACGACCTTGCTTACCAACCAATCCACCACCATGCGTTGTTGCTGGTAGTTGACTGATTCTTCATGTTCATGGTAGGGAGTGGAATCCGGATCCGATTTAGGGCAGGAGGTTTAGGGATACTATCCGCGAGTGAGTAAGTTCCATCAGTCTATCCGGATCTATATCTGCTTGTGTGTTACCAGGAAAATGACGCTTCCTACGTGGATCGTCTGGTATCGTCCCATTTAATACAATTATTATCACCATAAATGTGTATTAGTCATACTTATTTAAAAAAAAAAAAAAAAAAACAAAAAAAAATAGGAAAACGAAATAGAATTCTCGAATAAGAATATATATATATATATTTTTTTCTTTTTAATTATATTTAAAAAAAAAGAAAAAAAACAACATAGAATTTTTGGCAAGAATATTAGTGCATTTACATTTGTTTCCTTTTTTCTTCAAATAATTTATACGAAATTAATGCAACGTTCGAGATTTAATACATAGAAAAAATAAAAAATTGTTTACAGGTGAGAGATTAACAAGTCGGAAGGAGAAAAGTATACGGACGTCCTTACCAGTATCGGAACATTTCCGATGAAACGAAATAATGATAAAGTAGGCGAGCAAGACTAGGAAGCTGGTATATCCGGAGGGTCCACGTGACACCGATCTATCCCTGCATCCGTTCTCGGTACAGTCCATCGTATAGATTGGTAACGTTTTATACTGTATACATATGTGCATTTCAAAATTATACGAAAATATTTTACGATTTCATTTCTATATAAACATAAAAATATATTTTATTTCAACGATAGTTGTTATAAAAGATAATAATTTTAAAGAGAAAAAAGACGAAATGAAATATACAAATTCCTCTCTAGTGCCTTCTTTCTAAAATTTCATCATCTCTTTGAGTAAAGAATTTGTTTGTTAATCTATTTTTTATTTTTTTTTTTAATAACGTCGGAACAAGCGACATCTCGTTTTTTTTTCTTATTTTTGAGTGAAAAATCGAACGATGAAAATAAATTAATAACGATGAGTTCTATAGACGAGAGGAATGATTATTTATAAAATTCATTTTTAATCAATGTTAATTTCACACTTTCCGAGTAGATCCATTTTGCTATTAATATTAGGTATTAGGTAGGATGGAGGGGAGTATCCCAAATGACAAGAGGATGTGCGGGAAGTGCCGCGGGAACCATGATAGTTACCGCCCGTCTCGTTAGAAATCCGAGTATATATAAAGTAAGTTATGATATTTTATTAAATATATATTCAAACAATAAATACTTCATTTTATATATAAACAAATATTATTATAATAATAAAATATTATAACAGCGTGTTATTATAATACGCTTAAAAACATTAAAGATTAATATTAATCATAGCTTAAAAATAAATAACGTACATTCATTTATTTAAACATACCTTGTTGTACAAAAATATATCAAACATGATTCTTATAATAAATGCTATCTTGTTTTTAAAATTATCTCGAATATATATCGAATATTTGAAATGAACCAATCAACGGAAGGATGAAAGAGCGAACGATTTCTGATTGGTTTATTCTAAATAATCGAGTTATCTCGATTGGTAACTCGACAATCCGATATAGTAGTATCAAGTGACATGAAGTCGATAGTAAATGATCTTTACGTCACAGATTTCACAGATGTTGCCATCATTTTTTCTCTATTGTTTACTTATTAAAGGATATACGTATAATGTTATTACGAAATACACGGACAAGTGCATTAATAAATTGTTAATTAAATCGAATCTCTTTTTAAATTAAATTTTAATAATCAAATGATAATGTCAGATTAATTATCATTTCTATTCAGTATTAATAAAAATCAGATTATTCGAAGGTTATGTTTTCAAGGGGTTTGATAAAAACGCCTATAATTTGTAAGGATCATCGTTTTTACGATGAGAACAGGTGGCATGTTAGATGCTCGTGAATTTGGAAAACGCATACGTCGTTTGATAGATGTTAATTACTCTTATCGCAAACTATTACTTTTCATTCTCATCTGTGGTGGGGTATTACTATACTTTGGGCCACAATTTGCACAATGGCTTTTTTCTACAGCCAGAGAACCAATAGAAGGTAATTGTTATAAACTGAGGCATAATTATATTAATATCATTTTTAAATGAATTATTTATTTTTTTATATAGCGTTCGAGCAAAGTTGTATGACCGAAAGACTGGCTACTTTTCATTTAGATGCAGCGGAATATAATGTAAATATACTTCATGATCCACCTTTGGAAAATGAACCACAATATTTGCCATACATTGGCAATGGTGTATTTGGTGTACCTGTTGTGCCCAAGGGCTGGATGTATATTAAACGTGGTAGAGCTTTGTTATTACCAATACAATGGCAACCATTGATCACTCATCCTTTGTATGAGAATAATTTTTATAGCGAAGCTACAGTAACTCATTTCACCAATGGAATTGTTCATAAGTTTCAATGTCTCAGAGAAGGTTATCATTTAAGCTTTCAATATTATGCTCATCGAGTTTTAGATGCCATATTAGTGCAAGATATAAAAATTGTTAATCCTACATCGCTTTCTCAAGAGGTAGCATTAAAGCCGTTAACTGCTGCTCATTGGACTAATTCAAAATTAGAAACTATTAAGTGAGTATTATTATTGACTTGTTTAAATTTTGTTTCATTGTAATCATTAGATACAATGATTATGTATTGTGTTTAGGATACAAGTGGATCGATTCATTCATGAATATAATTTAATATCTGGATTTATTCCTTTATCTGAGTCAAATAAGGTTATTGTGATATCGATAGTTTATAAAGATCCACCAAAAGTCATACAAGTTAAAGCGAGAAGTACTATTAAACTTGAATTTCTTACAAGCGTACAATACAGCGAACCAGTTTCATCAGAACGATATCATATTGAAAGAGATGTAACTAAGAGGAAAGCCATAGATGTGAGTATTTTAAATATTACACTAAATTTTTATATTTTTTATACTTGTTCGTGTGTGTATGCAATTGAATTTATATATTTATAAATGTAGACCTTAAAGAAAGCAATACTGCAGCAACAAAAAGGTTTAAAAGAAGAGCACATAAAAATGTGGCAAAGTTATTGGTCAACCGGTTTTAGAATAAGTGACTCTAAAGCTGCTGGAGCAATTAATGGTCATAAAATAAATTCAACGATGTATTTGATACTTTCTCAAATACCACGAGGCCTTGTAGATGTAGAAAAAAAAATAGCAACCAACGAGGGTTGCTATCATGGTCATCACACATTGTAAATCATAAAAATATATATTTTTGTTCTATGCCATCATTTAAAGAAATAATTAGACAACTGAATTAAATATATATGTTTTTCAGAGATGCTCCTAAATTATGGAAAGATACTTCATCGGTTGATGCTGTAAATGAAATAGTCGATGCATGGTTATTAACTTTAGAAAAACGAAGTTGTCATCATTTAATGGTAGGAGGTCCTTCCGCTGTACAACAAGCTATTGTTTTAAGTCTCGGAGGTTTAAGATTTACTAATCAACATCTGGAATTTAATATTGACCCACAGTATCTCCATCGTGATTACTTATTTAGGTACGACGAAAATTATTAAATATATACGATAGTATATTTTGTTTGTAAAAATATTCTAATTATTATATTTCCAGGAGAATAAGTTATGGTAATGTAACCCATGTAAATATATCGGTAACAGTAGGAGAAGATAATCGTGCCATATTGGGCGTAGCTTTGGATAAAAGTGATAGCATATATTTTGGATGTGATGCAGGCTGTTTAGATGCACCAGTTTCTTTGAGTCAAACTTATACTAATTTTCCAGTTAAATTAACTAAACCATTGACCGCTATACTTTATATTACATCCGACTATCAACATATGCAAGATTTGAGAAATGCTTTACACGTACATGCTGTAGATGATGGTACATATTTAATATTTATGCGTTTATGAGATGATACAAAAATATCTGGTGCATTAAATATTGTTTATTTGTTTTTCATAGCTCCAGCTCACGATCATCACGTAATGGCTTTACACAAACACGGCCATCAACTCGGTGGCTTGCCGAATCTATTTTGGATTAGTATATGTTTCCTTATCATTGTTTTTCATCTGTTCCTTTGTAAACTAATAATGAACGAGTATTATGGTCATCAACAACCAAAAGTACGTTACAATAAACTTTAAACACTGTACATAGTTATTTTATTACAAATACAAATTTTTAATCTATCATTAGGATATATATTATATATGATATATGTATATCTTTTTTTATCATTTAGTTGTTTTCTTTTTTGCAGAAACAATCATATCACATTTGATACTTCGAAATAAGATTTTATATTAAACTACATTTATATTTTGCTTTTACTTTGGGAAAAGTAATCATTCCAATAAAATTGAGAAAAGCGAAATAAAAAGTCTGATCGTAAAAAATATTCTGTATATAGAAAATCATTGTTATTTAAAAGTAAAACATAATATACGAGAAGACCATGCCCCTGTTAACGCGTTGATCACTACCTAATCCAAATCTGAATTATATTTCTGTTGAGATCAGGAAAAACACGCATTAGATCTAAGCGTGATGATCAACATGTTACAAAGAATTGTACAAAAATATGTATAATACTTCTGGATTATTCATTTTTATTTAATAGACATATATATTAATCTGCAAACGTAATGAAAAGATCTGCTTTTTAAACCAATGATATTTGAAAGAGTGTGTGTGTATATATATATATATATATATATATATATATATATATATTTTCATCTATATATACTGTGTATGTATATATATATATATATTCATCTATATATACTTTTTAACGATGCACCTTTGGTATAGTAATTTATATTTCTTAATAATACATTAGCGATAATTGTCTATTATTATTATTTATTATTATTGTTATTATTATTATATGTGTAAGTCTTTGGCTCATACTTTCCTGCCAAAAAAACATAGAAAGTTTTGTTTCACCTATACGAGTGATTTATTTTCCTCTTGTAATTAGCAAAGTATTTTAATGAATGAAATATGTAACAGATTAGAAAATCATTTTTTATGTCTACGTATAATTAGCTATGATCAATTAGGCTTAATTTATTTTTCCTTTTTCTTTTTTAAACTCGTATAAGATTACTTACGAAAGGAACTTGATACGTCCACCGATATATGTAAAATTCGAACATTGTTTTCGTTATTTCTTTCTTTTCTTTTCTTTTGTTCTTTCTTTTCTCTTTCTTTCTATAATTATTTTTTTGTTTTTTCTATAATTATTTACATATAAAAGACACAGCTCTAGTGGTTTATACTAACGATACTAATAATTAATAATAGATATACGTAAAATGTTCAAGTGTGTGTATCACATTAATTATAACTTTAAATTACGTTTTCTCAAACGCATTTTTCAATATACTTTAATATATATATTTTTGTTAAATTTATATCTTATATATCGTTTAATATTATTTAGAATATATAAAGTCGTTTTTTTACTCTTTCAGCCAATATTGCAAATATTATTTTATTTGAAAGTAAATTATGCACAGGAAATGCATAATGCAATTTTATAATAAATTCAAATAATAGTAATAATATATTTATGTATTTCGAGAGTGCATCTACAAAATGAAAAATTTTTATTTTCTATTATCATTTTTTTTTTAAGTTAAACTTTTGCATCCTATAATTTATCTAATTTTTTATATTTACATACAAAACATATTAATAAATAATTTACTAAATTTGTTTATGTTCTTACTTAATATACATTAATATATGCATTTATTTTGACTAGGTCTTTGATTGAACAGCTAACGATTGTTTGGCACAATAAATATCAAATTTCATTCTTAAAAACTAGGATTATAGATCGTTAACGATCATTGTTTTGATCTTTGCAGTATCTTACCACATGATCACGTCCTTATTAATCTATTACGCGCGATTTATGAATTTATTTATGTATTATAATGGCACATTATTGTTAATAGTAAATTTCGTGCTTTTTTTTTCTATATAATAATTATTATATATATATATAATTAATTATTTTTATTAAATATATTCGAAATTCGATCATTCTTGAATAGGAATATTATTTTTGTTAACCTTCCTCTCATATAACGGAAAATGTTTAATTCAAATTCGAAGTAATTTTTTGTCGAGACGATTTTCGAATGTTAAAATTTATTTTTAATCGTTGACCGTACAACGATACTCTCTTTGATAAGAAGAAAAGTAGTTCGTCTTCACGACTACGAGTAATTTTTTAGATTCTTTTTTTCTGTATTGTTTTTTTTCTTATTCATATTAAAATTTTTTCGTACGAAAAGTTAAAGTAACTTTTCGATATTATATTATCAACAATTAATATTTCATTTACTATTTAATATATATGTATATCTTTTTTAATATTCACATAATTATTTTTAAAATTTTTTCTTCTACGATTAGTCAAAAAAATTTTATTATCGCCGGCAGTTACATTTATATACATACATATTTTATATATGTATATATGAGCCAGTTATTATGAAAGTAGTTTAAATTATTTTTAATATTAAAAAAGAATATTTTTGTCGCGCGTAAGTTACTGTTTAACTATTAAAATTTAATAAAAGAAAATTATTTTTCAATAAAATAGATATACGTATACGAGAAATAAAAAAATGTCAATGTTAGTGTACGTCCAAATATTTCGTGATAGAACTGTATAATCACTTTAATAATTGCTGGCTAATATATAAAGAAACGTATATATATATATATATATATGTATATATAATAAATTTTTCAACAGATTATACAATATTGTTAATCTCCAAAAAAATTTTCTTCATATTTTTTTAAGTAATGTAACTACGTTAATAACTTCACGAGAATATGACGTTTTACATTTACACATGCAGTACTCTATTACAACACACGTTCATTTTCGTTGCAATTACAAAGTCCAACATGATATTTCTATTATATTAATATTTCTTTCATATCTTTTAATTGAAATCTACCGTCCTTTATATTTCTTTTGGCACGTCGACATATTGACGTTTTTATTTATTTTATTGTTTTTTTATTTTATATTTTTTTCTTTTTGCTTATTTTTTTTTTTTTATAAAATAATTATCTCATTATTCGCAATTGTGTATACGTAGTAATAATATATACTAAAGAATGCGAACACGTTTTTTTTTTTGTAAAGAAAGCTATCAATGATTTGATATTATTTACAATATGTAAGTACATGCATATATATATAAGGTGTCTGAAGTTTTTCTGACAAAACGATTTAAATGTATTCTATGCAAAAAAAATATGAAGAAAAAATGCTATATAAATAATATATTATATATTCGTGCATAGAATACACAAACACCGTTTAATCCGAAAAATCTCGAACACTTTGCATATATATGCTATGAAAATTTGATTCTCTCATATATATAGACACAATTATTATTATTATTATTATTACATAATTATTTATCTAAGAGATTTTTTTTTCCTTTCATTTTTCTTCTTCTAATATTTTAATATATTTTATTAGAAATGTTATTATCGGTACAAAAACAGCGGTGCTCATCGAGACGACGCAAATAGAAATATGAGAAATAGAGCCGATTAACAGGAAGAGAAATGTTGTTATTTAAAAATCGATGTTCGTTGAAAGTATTTCAGAGCCTTATTATATTAAACGCGCGTATAAGTTATAAACATCATTTTCTTTCTTTTTTTCTCCCCGATATGCAACGATATTAATATTTTTTTGCCAAACAAAAAATGTATCAATATATCGAAAGAAAGCAAAATGAAAGAAAGTTGGAAATTTTCTTTACGCTTATTAATTAATTATTCTCGCTACAAATATAGACACGATCATCATTAATTACAGGACTAAAAACTATCGTTATCATCATCATCATCTTCATTATTATTAATATTTTTATTATTCATCGTGTATTTTTATTTTTTTTCTCTTATCTAGCAATTCTCTTATCGTGCTGCAAGTATTTTTTTTTTATTTTATTTTTTCAATTTGGCCTCTACTAATTTTTTTGTACAATATCGTCTTAATAATTAACGACGTGATAATTAATAATGTTTTCATTTAATTCGATTGAAAAATCAATTTAATATATCGTATATATATATTATTTACGTGTAAATATTTTACATAGAATTTTCTCCGAATAAATAGATGATTAAACAATAAAAAAAATTTCTTTAGAGATTAGAATTAATTATTCTCGTTAAAAATTAATTCAATCTTTTTTATCGATCAATTTTGTCTTTCCTTTTTTTTCTGAAATCTTTATATTAGAAAATGACAAATTTTGTGTAAAATATCGCTTATGAATGAACGTTTAGATTATTAGATGATATACGTACGAATAAACACGCGATCGATTAGATCAATTAGTATCATAAAACTTTTAGGGCAAAAATCCTTCCCCGATCAATTTTTATTAATTGAAATAGTAAAAAAAGAGATCTTTTCGTATAGTTATTATTATTTTTTTTTTAATCTCAAGAGTAAAAAACTGTACTCAAGTATATAGATATCATAATCGTATAATTCGATGAAAGTTGTTAAGAAACGATTTAAATGTCGTCGAACACTATGATGAAAATTCGGAGAACGTCGGTGATGCACTGTAAATAAATCCAATAGGAGTTTCCTCGTCGTTCAATTTCGTTGAAACGTCTATTTTTTCGGAGATACTGTTGATCGGTGTTGTTGTCTGAAATATATAAGAAAAAAGAAAAAGAAAAAAAAAGAAATTCAAAAATATTTTTGAGCAGTTTAGAAAAATCGAAAAGGATTCATACATATATTTATGGGATATACTATATTTATTGGGATAGACATTTAACACGTTCAGTGCCACATCAGTCACCGGTAACTGACATTCACACACACATAATCAATTGTTTTTTTAAATACTAATAAGTAACGGTTGTGGCCTGACAGGGATTTCCGAATTTGCGTGGCGCTCAACGTGTTAAGGGACTTGAACATATTTAAAAAAAAAAAAACTTTGGTTTAATCTTAACACAAATAGATAGAAAGAAATTTGTTAAGAACCTGTTCAAGGTCGCAACAGTCCTCCTTCTCCTCCTCCTCGTCAGAACTTGGCACATCTGGCAACTCGGATAATTCACTAACGATCGATAGTTTTTCGGTTTTTTTAGCGATTCCCTCATCGACATACACCTCCATCACCCCGTTCTCATGCAACTTTGAATGATGCTCTGAATAAGGTGGGAGGTGTATGAGAGCGACCTAGCTAACTGATACTGCTTCTTCGACTGACGGGCTTGCAAGTGCTTGAGTTTCACCTAATTGTAAATCGAAGAACAAAATTTTATTATTACAAAAAAAAAAAAAGAAAGTAAAGAAAAGAAAACGTTATTCATCTATATAAGAAATGTTAATGAGAATCAATTTTGTTTCTTCTTCTTCTTCTTTTTGTTTCTTTTTTGCTTTTTTTTTGTTCGCTTTATATGCCTTCTTTATTCAGTTACCATTTGCATGTTTTTGCTCACTTCGAGATGCACGCGATGGAAGTGGACTGCTACGTGAACCCGAGGTCATACTTTGCATCGTTTGACTCCTTGCACCGGAAAATCGTGTCATGAATGTTTGTCTGTTACTACTGTGTACACCTCCTGGCTGTATCGTATATTCAAAAAGCACAAATTTTATAGGAAAAATGTTAATGTCGATATTTTAAAATATATATTCACAATTGCTTCTCTTTTTTATTATTAAGAGAAATTAATAATATAATATAGATTTAATTTATCAGAAATGGATTGATTGATTTATTTATTTTTTGTACTCACGTTAGGACCAGGTCTAACGTTCTTGTACGGTTGAAATAATACAAGATAAACCTTAGGTGTGAATAAACAACCAAGAGCAACAGATGCTGAGATGTTGATACACATGCACATGCTTGCTATTTGAACCTGTATAACAATGTCCAATGAAATATTTTTTTGCACACAAATGTGTATTACATTTAAACGAATTATCAAATAACTTGGATACCTTGTAATCGTTTTTCGATCCAAAATATATAGGAACAAATGCAAGCCAGACTATACAAGTCGAGTACATGGTAAAACCAATGTACTTAGCTTCGTTAAAGTTTTCTGGTATTTTCCTTGTTTTAAATGCGTACAATGTACACATCAATATTAGGAACATATTATACACTAGAGACATCATCAATGAGAACGTTGAGACTCGACATGTCAATACAGCTGATAATGGATACGGATGGATTTCTGTTGTGTCAGGTGGTTCAATAATTAGCCAAACTATGGCACCGATCAGTTGGACTGCAGTGATCCCTATAAAAACGGGAGTCACGTAATTCAGGATCAAGCTCGAACGGCACGAACGGCCAACGTGTGACTACCCTATCAATTTGATTTGATTTAATAATGCGGAAAGATCTGTCAGATAAAATTCTATTTATATGATATCAATTTAGATTTTGTTTGCTTTCCTCTCGTTTAATTAACAATCCAACGAACATGTCGCATTCTATTTTTACGAGTTTAATTTGACATTTTTCTTTTTTTTTTTTTTTGCAAGGTGGAGGAGGGGGGTATCCATGATTGATAATCCCCAATTTTATCCGAAGATCAATCAATCAGTTTAGATAGCACGTACTCACCGATAGCAATAACAACTTGACTCTTTGGGGAAGTATAGGATGGTCTTTTGATACTTTTCGTACCTTGATTGAATATACGTGAAATGCGATTAGTTTTGGTAAGTATAGCGCTGTAGCAAATGCTCAAACAAAGTCCTAAACCAATACGAAGATACGTGCAATTCCATGTTGTTGGTTTGCTCAATATAACAAAACTCATTCCGTAACAAGATAAAATACCGACGAGTAATACGTAGCATAATTCACGACCGGAAGCCATGATCACTGGTGTACGATTGAATCTGATCAAATAGACAAATCAAAAAATAGTATTTTAATTAATCTATTAATTGATTACATTTTTCTTTTTTTAATGATAATTATATCGCGTAATTGTCGGCCTCTTTTTCAAGAATTCGTTAAGAGTAGAGAATGCGTAATTATTAGGTAAGGTTCGATCGATTTATAATTACTATTAATTACAATAATCCCGATTCAAATGACGCTGCGCTATCTTTCTTTTCTAATTTTCTTTTTTCTTTCTTTCTTTTTTTTTTTTCTTCTTCAATCCCATGACATATCGATTAATAATTATCTTCATTGTATCTCAGTTCACGAGTCGATCTTTTTTTCTTTCTATCTCTTTTTATTATTATTATTATTATTATTTATTTATTTATTTATTTTTAGATATCGGTTATTCATAAATAAAATAATTATTTGAATTGACTTACCGAATAAATACAAACGTAGTGAAAAGTGTACTGAGAATTCCAATGGATGCGAACACAAGTGGTACTAATGCCCAAGGACTAGTCCATGATATAACTTCGGCTGTTAGTTTAATACAACTTGTTTTTGTTTCGTCCGGGGCATAACCTGGTCCACAGCTACTGCAGGTATCGTTAAACACGTAAGCATCTTCTCTACAAGCTACACATCTCCAACAACATGCCTCCTTTGCAAGAGAAATAGATCAAAGATTAATTGTTATTAAATGTTATACAACTATTTCTACAATACGTTAACACACGCGTTTATCATTACAGTTATTAATAGATTTTAATAACAATCAACGTTTCCAGTAAAAATATAATCAATTGTACGAATTAAAAAAATTCATTTACAAAACAAATCTAATGTATTTTAAAATTAACATTACTTTATCTACAAATTGATTTTCTAACGCGCGTAATGTTAATTAACAAATAATATATAATTTTCAAAATGTGTTAACTTTCACGAGTGTTAGATTAGTTATTTAATATTAAAATGCAATGTTTTTTTTTGAAGTTATTGAATTTAAAATTAACATTCCCTTACCTACAAATTTATTTTCTCTAGCGTAATCTGTATTATTAAATAATATACAATTTTCAAAATGCGTTAACTTTCACGAGTGTTAGATTAATTATTTAATATTAAAATTGTAATGACAAAAGAGATTAAATCAGGTTAATCGGAATTTAATTTAACAATTAGTAGGGTAATCATGAGAAAATAATTGCTATCCACAGGTGGTAAAGATCATAATGCAAAGGTTTCTTTTTTTTTTAGAAAAAATAAAATAGCTTCACACATTAGAGACCTCAAACGATGATGAAAACTACGAGGTTAATTAGCAACGTGTTATTCAAAGAGAGAGACAGACAGGGTGTATGTGTGAGAGAGAGAGAGAGAGAAAGAAAAACAGAAGGAGAGAAACTGCTTCAGAATAACGACTCGTTTTACATTTCTTTCGGAGAGTTTCATACCCTTTTTTCCTCGAGTTTTCGTGCTTAAGCATATTACCGTTTTTTCTTTTTTTTTTTCCTCTTTTTTTTTTTTTTTYTAAACGAGCCTAAAGGCACGATTTTTAATGTTACAAAAAAAAAAGGAAAAACTCTCGACAATTCTTTTTGATCTTTTTCTCCCCTGTGTCTGTTTCATTTTCTTCTCTTTTTTTCTTTCCTCGTATATGGTGTATGATGTGTATAAGTGCGGGAGAGGAGTTTATGTATATTTGTATATTTTATTCGATTATTTCTCCTACCTGGAAATTTCTCACATGACCTAAGGGACAATTATCGCTGCATGAACTTCTTGGTATATGCAATTCACCAGCTCCTGTTGCCCATCTGGTCATATTGATATCAAAAGCCAATCTAATGATTTGAAAGAGAAAAAAAGAAAAAAAAAGATAGAGAGAGAGAGAGAGAGAGAGAGAGAAACAAAAAAGACAAAGAGAATAATATAATAATTAATATTATCCACTGATCTAGTAAATTTAATTAACCTCTACAGGGATTTCTACAGGGCACACACGTGCGTGCTTTAACGTTATAATTTATTTGAATTTAACCCTTTTAGGGGTGCTGTGAATACTTTTAATTGAAATGTTTTGTAAGTACGGAATAATTTTTGTTATCTAATAATAAATTATATTTTTAATAATTAAAATATGTGTATATATATATATTTCTATATTTAAATGTCTTATTAATTGTTCATTTTAAAATTCAAATTATGCTCCCGAAGAGATTGAGAAATGTTTTCTTATAATAAAAAAAGAAAGGAAAATAGAAAAACAAAAAGATTGAAAAATAAAAAATAGAGGAGAAAATATAAAAAGGAAGATGATAAAACTTACTCCTCTTTCCAAGTTCCAATTAGAGTGTAATCGAAACGATTCTCTTCGTTACGTTGATATTGATAAATATTATAAAACCCATAGGCGTCGCCGTTGATATTAAATTTAATTTCTGTACCTTGACGACCTATAAAAAAAAGAAAAATAAGAAGAAGAAGAAGAAAATAGTAAAGAAAAATGAACAAGAAAAATCTTATCTTATGAATAGTAATGACAAAAACAACTTTTTCTCGTTAAAATAATAAATCAATATACATTTTTCCCATATAGAGTGTGTGTACGGTTTTATATACAAAGTAAAAATTATGCGTGAATCCTTACCAATGAAGGTAACGTTTCGAATATATTGTAGAAGTTGTTGGCCATCGGGTGCAGGTTTCAAAGCTTCGCAAACATAATGCATTCCAGGAAATTCATTTACGCATTCTTCTTCTATCACGTTGTGAACCCCGTGAGCCATTGCATACACAGCATCGACTATGTAAATAATAATTAATTGAATAATTAATAAAAATAAGAAGACGAAGAAGAAGAAGAAAAGGAAGAAAAAAAAAGAAAACATAATTAAAATATATTCGATGCGTTACGGACGAACAGAAACGTTTTTCTTTGAGTTATTTAAAAGAAAAAAAAAAAGGAAAAAGAAATATCTTCGTTTGATTAAAAGAAAAAAAAAAGAAAATAATTAGGTCAGGATTTTTAACGAGTAGTAAAGTCTCAAGAATTCGTCGGGTTAAGGGCTTTGCTTCCAGCTATTTTAAAAAGAGACAAAGGAGGTACGACTGTAGGATAATAAGAAGAACAAAAAAATATAATATAACGATGTGTGTTAACTTTGTTTCAAGCTAATCGTCTATTTTTCATTAACAAAATTCTCATAATTATTATTATTATTATTATTATTATTATTATTATTATATTATGATTATATTATATAATATAATCCGCACGATGTTAAATAGTAGAATTAAAAACAATCAAAAAATACATTTCTTTATAAAAATATTATTCATTACTATAACCTATTATTAGACTATCCAGTAAATTAATGCAGCAATCAATGGGTGGATTTTTTCTCCCCACCGTTCCATTTATTTAGAAAAAAATTGCACTGACAATATATATTATAGGGGAAAATTTAGATTATTTATATTTTGATTATTATATTTTATATTAACTTCTCTCTCGCACATATAGATATAATATTAAAAATATATATTTACCAACGAAAGGTACTAGCCCTTCTTGCTCGTAATCCTTAAGCTCTTCAGTACCAGTGCATATCGTCGTCTTCTCGGTAGAAGCATTTTTACTAAAAGTGCATTTATGATGCTGTGACCAGAATTCACGGAACCATATATTCCTACAATTTACTATCTTTCCAGGCAATGATTCATGTGGTACATTACTCTCAGTTTGTCCTTGACATTCATTAGCCATTCTTGGACGAAGATTTAAATAATATTCGTCAAAACCTTTAAAATATAATAATAATCGTAACCGATCAAATATAAATATTAAAATATTAATAGAAAATACAAAAAAAAAATAATCGTTTTTAAAATATATTAAAAAAGAAAAGAACATTTAAATTTGCTTAACAATGTAATTAGTCTAAAAAATTACTTATGTTTAAACAGGTTTTAATCGAGTAAAAAAAAAGATAAAATCACCTTGAAGGGCAGTCCTAAAGGGTAGTATAGTGATAGCACCCTCTGCAGCAAATTCTTGATCTCGAACCGGATAAACTTTAGCACCCCAGGAGTCACTACCAACCCACATGAAATGACCCGTACGATTGGCTCTCACAGTAGCTTGAAGTAGTTTTCTGAAACATAACAGATGACAAGAATTATATCTTAGATAAGATAAACTATCCTTCTCATCTGTACGTTTCCTAACAACTAATCCATTCATCTCGTCTATCTATTTTTATTCATTCATTAATCCATAAATTCATTCAACAATTATTAATTCATTCATTTGTTGAATGATTCATTTATTCTTTTTTAAGAGTAACATTAATGTAAAAGATAATTCTACATATATACATTAAAAAATACACATAATATTTATGAGGAAATATATAGGAAGCTAAAAGCTAAAGAAAGAGAGTAAGAGAGAGAGAGAGAGAGATAGGGATAGCATTAAAGCCATTAGTGTTGAGAAGCTTTGGAAAATGTAACCATGGTAACATCAAGCTTATTCTCAACTTAAATATATATACATCCACATTATCTACGTGTTTATATATATATATCTATGATCATCTATGATACTTCAGTCATTATAGTCTTCAGATTAGTTTCTCGAATGGGAAACGCCATGACAGGAAGAGGGATGAGAATGAGAATGAGGAGAACAGGAGGGTCTAGGACTAAGGAGGGATGAGCCAACTTGACAATAACTGGAAGGGGTATATATATATATATATATATATCAAAAGTTATTACTATTAACTGACAAAATTACTTTGATAATAGGTGTGAGCAGTCTTTAAGTGCGATAGAATACGTTTATTCTCATCTAACTTCTAATCAAAATTGAATGATACACGTAACTTGACAAATTTCAATCTTAAATGATCCTATTATCTTCGAACTATAATAATCTTTAAATTTGTATTATAGCTTTTCCCTTTTCCTTTTATATTTACTACAAGTTGGATGAAAATATTCGAACAAAAGAAATGAATATAATGTGATCTATCGTATCAATACGATACGAAAACGGATACGAAAAAAGAAACATTAAAAGCAAAAGAGAGAAGATTTGAAATCTGTAAACTTATATCGACTTATCAAGTACGGTCCAACGAAATCGAATTCAAGAAGTAATGGCTTTCTACCGAGGTAGGTAAGTAAGTACACGCGTATATATATATATACTTAGATACATATGTCATAAGACAAGATTCAGAGAAGAACTATTTTAGAAATGATTTATCTCTTCGAATGATATTTCTAACAAATGGAAGGTATAATAACTAAGGTAACATTCATGGATATATCATAAATGTATATAAATATAATATTCATAAAAACAACATATATAATCTTCAAAGAAAGAATTATTTTCTTTTTTTCTTTCTTTCTTTCTTTTTTCTTTCTTCTTCTTTTTTTACCTATCAATAAGATTATATTTTATATGTAATAAATTCAATATTGGAAAATCATAATATGTATGTATGCATTATGTACGATTTAAAGGAAATGATAATCTGTAACACAAAGAAAAACAGATAATAATATCAGAGTTTCCAACAACTAACATTATAGAGTCGAATAATTCAATCACGCTGCTTTCACGTCCGGTACGGTTTCGAACTATCAAAATGAGGCTAAAGAGAAAGTGGGGGTTGAGGGTTTGAGGGTGAGAGAGAGAGAGAGAGAGAGAGAGAGAGAGAGAGAGAGAGAGAGTGAACTAACAAATGAGATCAATTTCGACCACATATCGACGTTCTCGAGGAAACATGAACGTGTTTCACGGTTCACCGATAACGTTGAGTTAACAATCTGACACTTTGATTAATAAATTCAATAACTTTACAACTTTTCAAGAATGCTAATGAAGATGATTACAATGAAGAAATATTTGCGAATGTATACTTTATAAATTGTGTGTGTGTGTACATGTGAGAGAGTATTATCTTAAGATAATGTGTAACATTTTGACAATATGTATTTTAGTATCACGAATGAAATGCGTGGTGAGTGTATTGGGGATGCTAGCTAGCTAATTGAATCTCCAACACACAGTATGAGAAGACAAATTGAATTTCGTTCGCTATATTTATTTCCCTGGAAATCGATCTTCTTCTTCTTCTTCTATTTCTTTTCACAGTGTTTCTTTTTTATATTGTTCTTCCCTTTTCTTTTTATAAAATATCAAATCACATTTTTGCAAAAGTGTATAATTGTATAATATTGATTAATAATTTATTACACTTACGAGACAGTTCTATTATTTTCTCTATTTTTATAGTTTCTATTATTTTTATTATTCTATTATTTTTATATTTTTAAAAAAAAAAAAAAAAAAAAACCCACGTGAAACATATATTGTATATTATAATTTCACAATTAAACAAATAATAAAAATCCCCATATAACTCCTCACTGTATCCTACTATTAACTATCTATGAAAATATTTGTAAATAAATACGAACATGGTGGATAGAAAATATTTCTTACTTTACTTTTAAACAAATCGAATAAACATGATTTCTCTCTCTCTTCTCTCCTTGCGTATATATATCAAATAAACATATGTATTTTAGATTTATATTAGATACACCTGGACAAATATATTTCTCAGTTAAAAGAAATAGAAGAAGAAGAAATAGAAGTAAAAAATAAAGTCATAGATGTTTTTTTTTTATGATAGGAAGTAAGCACAAGCAGATACCTTTTAAAGATACTTGTCTTATTTTAGTAAACACAGTGGCTCTTTGCTAGGTAATCCTTTGAACGAGAAGGGAAGTCGGTCTCGATACCCTTTCGAAAAAGGGGATGACGATACTAAGAAGACTGTATATCACGACGTGTTTGGGCAATCGATTTGGAGGACGATATCGGGGTCACTGGATTACTATCCGAGCAAAGGGGAATAAGTACTCTCTTCTCTTACTCTTTCTCTCTCTCTTTAACTCCTATTGTTTTCTTCGTCACAAGAAGAACAAGAGGGCCAAGCCAAGTTAAGGACAAAGAAAGGGCGTGTGTAGTACAGTGTGTACACTCGGACTTCGATCTTTTCTACTCCTTTTTTTCCTCTTCATCATCCTTTTCCTCTCTTTTCTCTTTTTTTTTTTATATTTTTCTTTACTAGTACTTTTTTTACGCTACTATTATTATTTCTCTCTGTTTCTTTTGTCTATTCTTTTAGTGTCTATATATATATATATATATATTATAAAATAGATCAATGTTTGTACCAGTGTTTACTCTCGAATGAAATTCTCAAGAAAAATTCTATACAAGTCGTACACACACACAGGTTCACTATATATATTCGATATAATATATCGAGTTGGAAAAGTTTTTTAAAAATGTTTATTATTATAATATCATTCACAAAGTGATATAAATTTTGTTGATAAAATGTTTTACACGCATGTACAAGATATAAGTCTAAAGTTATCGTATAATAATTTTTCGTTCTACATTTGAACTAACTTTAAGTTTACTTTATGGACACATAAATTATACACGTGTGTATAATTAAAATTGCAATTAATTTTAGATTTATTCCAAATTTACGATATATCTTGTTAGATGAACAGATAAAAGAATAGATATCTATAGGATAAATAAAAACTTTGTTAATCGTCGTGCAGAATCGTTCACTTCTTTTTTTTTTACTTTTTGACTTCTTTCACTCTTGTTTTTTTTTTTTTTTGTTACGTTAGGGATGAAAATTATTCGTAAAAGTTTGGAAAACGAGTAAAAGGGATACGACCGATAGCGGAGGAGTTTTCAATCCTTTGTAATGCAAAACTGTTGCATTTGTTCGATGGAATATCGTACGCGTAAACAAGAGGAGGGCACGGTATGTATAAATAAAGAATGATTTTTCTTCGATGAAAACATATAATATAGAGGGGAAAAAAAAGTAATAATAAAAGAATAAAAAGAAAATAGAAGGAAGGAAGGAAGGGAGGAACGGGAAGGAGGAACGGGAGGGAGGAAGAAAAGGATAGAGATAAAGAAGGTGCTGGGTAGAAGATATCAGTGTCGATACGAAAACCCTTCGAGGAAGGTTTGAAATTTAAAGTCGATAGGTGGAAAAAGAATGTTGCTTCCCGCAAAAGCAGCAGCAGCCGGTTTGCTTCGATATTTGGGTAGTTGCCAGAAAAAAAAAATTCAATAAAAGACGAAAGCTGAATATACACATATGTCTGGCTGGTGCAAACGTTTATATGTATGCGTATATATTATATATATATATATATATATTTTATGAAAACCGCTAACGCCACATTGGCGACCTACGTAAAAGTGGTTTTTCTTTGATAACGTATATTAAAGATTCAAATAAATAAAAAAAAGAGAGAGAGAGAGAGAAAATATTCATTGTTTAAATATTAACATGAACAATTTGTCCTAACGTTAATAATAATCTAACATGAAATAAAATGAATGATTAAAGTACATAATATAATGCAACATAAATAATTAAAAAATTATCTACCTTCACGTTATAGCATTGACAAAATTATAAAACATTTTATTATTTACGATTGTTCTCAACGTTTACTTATTTTTTTTTTTTTTTCTTGGTCACGTCTGTATATTTCTGATAAAAATATAGAGAAACGGATTAAAAAATATCGAAAGAAAAATAAAAAAGTAATTGAATAATTCTCTTCTGCGGGAATACCTACCTACCTACCTAGATAATAATCGAGTTAGGTGAATACGTCGAATAGTATCTCGCACGTAGTATATGTATATATGTAGCGTAGTTCAAACGACACCAACCGACGGACGTTTAAAAATCGATATCACATATACCTGAACGTCATTTTTCACAAGTTGCATCCAGACCGGTCCATAATCTCAAAATTTTTATACACACACGTTCAAATACGTTCAAATATGAATGCATCAACACGTGACTTTCATGAAACCTGTACTTAGCTTGTCACAAATATAACATTTTTTGCTCGACATTATTAATTTATCAATTTTTGTTCACCTCAGATAACAACGTTGAAAAACATATGTGCTTTTATTTATTTTTTATTTTTATTTTTGTTTTATCATCACATCAATTCAAATTTTATTCCGATTTCGTTTTCATATAATTTTATTATTCGAGAATATGATATAATAAATTAAAAGATTTTTATATAAATATATATAGTGGATTGGCAACACTTTAAATGTTTATTTAAATTAAAAAAAAATTTATTTTTCAATAAAAATTAACAAATAATTAATCAATAATGTATTCTGCCTAGTTAAAATTTATGTTATTGTTTAAACTTAATATATAACACAAAATCGTTCATAATATTTGTCTATCGAATAAGAAATTTGTATTATTATTATTATTATTATTCTAGCTTTATTTTTCATTCCCTAGTTTCTTTTTCTTTCTTTCTTCCTTCCTTTTTTGGTACGTACGATTTTCTTTTTTATTCATGTCGTCTCGTTTCGAAAACATTCGAAAATAACCGTGAATTTATTTGAAATGGTGGAACTGTCACGCGCTTACAGTGTTTTTTATCGTAACATTTGCTTCTAACTTCCACCCTTTGTAAAACAGGAGGAAGGACGAGTGGGGGTGGAGGTGGGGGTGAGAAAAAGGGAGAAAAACGTCAAAGAAAGAACAAAAAGTAATGATCCTACCCGTAGGATATTGTCGTTCAAAGGAAACTTACATCGTTCATCATAAATCAATGATGAGATAATGGAGAGTTGGGTTGGTATACTTGATCGGTCATGGCAGAAATTAATTATGGGAGAAAGCAATATTCGAGAGAGAAGAAATTTTTTAGAAAAAATCAATGTCATCCCGGATTTACCGACTTTTAATTTACACACACACAACATACATATATATATATATATATACGCATACAGCACACATAACAGAAATTTTTCCCACGGTACTTAATAATTTTTCTCCTTAATTATCCTAATGGAATAACGGAATACCGATTTTTAAATTAAACACTTTTGAAGAAAATCGGCCGATTTAAATTTAATCAACATTTTTTGTTATTCGTTTCAATTGTAAAAAAAAAAAAAAGCATTGTACAACAATATCGTAAGTTAAATCATATTTGTAAAAATAAAATTTCTACTTTTTGGAGGTTTTTTTTTCTTTTAATGAGACTATTCCAATTTTTAAGATACGATCCTCGAAAAATTCATCTTAAATAATACAACGGGGGAAAAAATAATGAATATAATGCGATCTTCTTACCTTATATTATCCTCATCAACGAACAAAACGACTCCTCGAGCATTGTGTTTCGTGCTTAATCTCTCGACAATCCTATCAAAGTCTTCTGTTTTCGAATTTCGTAAGATTTTTTCACTTACAGCTACGCAAATGTTATATTCCATGGATAACGATATGAAACTTGCTATACCCTAAAACAGAAAAATTGCTTTTTTTTCTTTTTTTTTTGGCTTGTTCCTAAAGCACAATTTCGTTTTATTTTTTTTTTGTATTTATTTTTCGAAGAAAAATTTTTCTCTTTCCATAACGAATTGTTTTATGAGTTCATACATGAGCCTGATACATATATAGATATCATGCTTACGCATTTCTTTTCTTTTTTCTTTTTTGTATATATTGTAGAAATTAAATCATAATATCTGAATATGTGTTAGAAAACTTTAGAAAAAATATATTCTGATATTGTTGAAACCATAAAAAAAAAGATATAACAAGTATCATGTTCTAGTTTATCTATCTACGAAGTTTTCATTATAAAAATATTTAATAATTATTATTATTAGTAATATTTATATGTGTAAGAACTTCAGGTTCGTTAAGTAATTACGATGTAACTTTCAACGTTCAACAATTAACAGACTCGTTATTTGCAAGACTTCTAAATGATCGTTCTTCTTGTTTCTATTTATTGTTCAGGAAACAACTACTTTCTTCTTTACCTTTTTGTCGATACATTTTAATATATGTTTATTATTTATATATACAAGATCAAATTTACAATCAAATTCTCTATTCGCAACACATTTACGTGCTTATACATTAATTATTATCGATTACAATTATATAAAAGAAACCTGTAATATGATTTTATTAAAAAAAAAAAACAATAAAAAATAATATTTCAATCTAATAAAAAATTTCCAATAAAGAAACATCGTTTCATAAATGAAAATCTACGAAACTATGGATACGAAAATTCTTCCTTTTTTTTTTTACGTACAAAATTAATAGATAAAAAAAAATATATACGTTTATTTATCTAGATATATTTGTCAGCATATATTTTTATTATTCTTTTATATTTTCAAATATATATATATATATTTACATATTATACATCTGTCATTGTGGATAAAAAAGGCAAAATAAAATAAAATAAAATAAAATAAAATAAAATAAATAGGATTTACAAAAGGAAAAATTGACTAACCTTTTCACCATAATCACCTTCGACGGCAACCGTGGAAACATATTTCCATCCTAGACGATGTATCACCTCGACCATGGCCTGAGCTTGAAAACTGTCTGGTGGTACGACTCTACTGAAATATTCGAAACGACTTTTGTCGGATAATTCAGTACTTGTTGACGCATAGCTCACTTGAGGTATCTGAAACATGCCATAAGCATTTTACGATTATTCATTCTATTATATGGTTAAGAACAATTTATTCAATAATTTTTATATTACCTACAACTTATTTCTCGAAATACTTCCAACAAAAATTGTCTCCCGTTTTATTTAATTTCAATCGAAAACTAACCACCCCTGACTTGGTAACTCGTAAAAAATTTATAAGAAATAATATTTATATGTAACATTTAATATGAAAGTAATGTAACTTATATAAAATTAATGTAAACTTCATTAATTTTCATCGCAACGATAGTAAACAATAATAATACAAATATGCAATAGAACATTTTGTACGGTTTATAGGATCGGAATGGAAGATAAAATATTTATGATCTTAGAATATGACGATGTCATTAGCATTATATTTCAAATAATACAAATCCCCACTCCTTTATATATATCTTGTATAATATTTATATTTATCTTGGCCAATTGACGCGAGTGAACGTACAACCATCTCCAATAATACTTTTCAACTAACAACATGAGGTTGTTTCCTGTCAAATTGACAGGACACCGATTTTGTTTAAATTAGTGTATAAGAATGCATGCGAAATTCGTTCTTTGGTTTTTTTTTTTTTTTTTTTTTATTTGAAACGATTAATAATTGAACCGTTTATTTTGAAAGTAGTGTAAGTCCATTTGCAGCCCCTGTAAATATACATTATTTTACTTAAATTAGCCTAAAAGTAATGTATATAATCAAATTACATACCGATAAATTAATAGAAACATTGTCGAACTTGATATAATTAATGAATATTTTTCAATTAACCAATATGCAAACCATTAATTTTCTCAAAAGAACAGAAAATGGACTTACACCACATTTCAAAATAAACGGTCGAATTATTGAGTCTTACTACTTGCACAGTGTATGATACTGTTGCGTAAAATTTCAAGAAAAGATATATCGAAATTCTTTGCAAATAACGAATGTGCAAATAAATCATAGAAACGTTAATTAATTTTTTGTTTCTAAAACATTCACACTAAATACTCCGTTAACGTTTCGTGTACGTTAATACTTACTTACGTAATCACATCTAACAAATAGAAATAGTTAACGAGAAGCAACACTGAGTTGTTTAGCTCCTTAATTTCGATCTTTAGCAAATACAAAAGTAAGGACAATTCGAGTGACTCGTCAGGTTAGAAAATGAACCAATTAACGAGATAGAATGGAAGATTCTATTATTCGATAGAACGGAGTACCACTTTCTATGCTAATTTCACGAAAAATATATTCCGATCGATTACACACGACCATTAAAGCAAAACTTCCATTCACAATCAACCGAACCAATTGAGAATTTGAAATATTTGTTGATCTCACCCTTAGATAAAATAAAAGTAAATAAATGTGTTATATCCTTTTAAAAATAGATACGTATAATATATATTATTTAGTTTTTTCTCTTTTTTTTTTTTTTTACAAATAACCGATTTACAATTTAAATATTATTTTGTTTTAATTTTATTTTCAAACAATAATCGTGAAAAATCGTTCGATCAACGTTCGTAATTTGTCAAGAGTTTATATTTCATTTCTTTTCAAAATTGATTTTTTGGAAATAAAAATAGAGAAGAATATATGGATTGTGGTTTTTTTCCTCTCTCCTACCTCCCGCCCTCCCCCTTTTCCTATCGTTTTTATATATGTAATACATAGGTATCTCTCTCCCTCTCTCTCTTTCTCTTTTTATTTCTTTCTCTTTTCGTCAACGTACATGTCTAGTTACCGAACGGTAAAATGGTTTAAACTCTTTCTCTGACAAGAAAACATAAAATATACATGAGTTCTCAAAACTGTATCACTTTGATAATGTAATTTCTTTCACGTTAGTGTCATTGAAGCTATCAAATGAAATTCAGAAACTAAATGCATATCTTTTCCCATCTTATGTTACATAATTGTTTTCTTATCTAAAAAAAAAAAATAAAAGAAAAAAAAAAGGAAATTGCTTGTTTGAAAGAATCGAATGAAGGATTTCAACAATTTTCTGCAAAAATTGCATGCAAACATTTATCGTATAATTGTAAAAAAAATTAATTGCATTTGTTACAATAGTTTAGATTCACAATGTTAATAAATAAATAAATAAATAAATGAATGAATAACTCGAACACGTAAAGGGAAACATCAATCGTTTAACTTTTTGATTCATTCCCCCATATTTCAACATAAATCCCATCAAAGTGACTTCACTGATAGATCCTTTCAAGAAACTCCTAGTTTCTACTTTGATAGGAAAGATTGTTCGCTGACCTGCATGATTCTCGTTGCATGAATTTCCAAGACATTGTCTTTTTTTTGTCTCCTTTTCTATTCTTCTATCGATCGAATATTATTTTTCTTATCTTTTCTTTTCTTCTTCTTCTTCATCTTTTTACACCCCCCCCTCTCCTATCATGTTTTTTACTATCTATCGTAATATTAATTATACTTCATTGTTTATTCTATATATTTACAATTAAATAATATATTATATTTATTATATTTTCCACATCAAATCCATAATGAACATTATTATATGTTAATTAATTATATTATAACATTAATATTATTATGTTATAATAACGTAATGTTTTTTACTATTCATCGTAATATTAATTATCCGTCATTGTTTATTCTATTTAAAATTAAATAATATATTTATCATATTTTCTACAGATCAAATTCACATTACGAGTTATTAATTATAATTTTCAATTTAATCGACAATGACAAATTTGTTTTCCTCTCTCGTATTTTATATTACATAATCTCGTTTATATAATTGAAATAATTATTATTTCTCGTAATAATCTCTGATAACAGATATTAAATAAAATCTTTCAGTTCTCTTCGAAAATTTGCCCCACGCATATACGCACACACACACATACACCCATCTTAGCTCACATTTTGATGATAAGCAAAAAAAAAAAGTAACGATATTAATTACAAGTAAAAAAGTAAAATTAAATAGATCCGTGTATATTTTTTATAGAAATATAAAGATTAAAAAAAAGAGAAATAAAAAGAGAATTGTAAATGGAAGTAGGCAGAAGAAAGTTTCTTTATTCTTCCATGAAGTTGTTGGCACATTTCTTTGATTTTGACTAGGTGAATGTGAGCTGAACAATAATATATGTGTACGTGCTATTTCTATCTTTCTCTCTCTCTCTCTCTTATTCACATACGAGTGAAAAAGGAAGAAATAGTTAGGTAAGTAGATAGTTGGATAGTTAGATAGATAGATAGATAGATAGATAGATAGATATAGAAAGCTCTTATAGTAAATAGGAAAATACGAGTGCCAGAGTGCTTTTGCGCGCTACTTCTCAAGATATCCTCTATGAACTTCCTCGAGTGATGAGAGAACTTCTACGAGAAGCATGCACACCATGCTTCTCGTTTCTAAAAACTTATATTGGCCAGCATAAGTAGCCAAGTAATCGTACGAGATATAAAATAAGAAAGATATAAAGAATAAGATAGAAAGAGAGAGGTTTCAATCTAAAATAAAATATCACGAGTTTGTCCCTCATTAAGGTCAAATATTACATTGATATCAAGTAAGTACAAAGATAAATACCCTATTATTTTTTTTCTATTGATATAATAAATCTTATAAATTGGATTCAATATATAAATATAATAGTATGGATATTATAGAAACAAAAGTAAATAATACTATATATTGTATATATATAT